GAGTCCGGCATTCTAAAAAGGCAGATGCTTGTCACCCTCTTCAGTGATTTTAGTTTACTTGTAAAAAATTCAGAAGGTCCTTCCAATGGCCAATGCCCTTTGTATCTGTTATTTTCTACGCGTTCATCACCATCTTCTTGTTTGGTAACATCTGGAAGCGGACATGAGGGAGGTGAAGTCCATATGGCCAAAGAGGAGCCTCAGGATCCCATCCAGAATTAGGAGAGAAATATTGAAAGGTTTCAAAATTGACATTGAAAGAATTATTGCAGCTACAACTGTCCTGAGCACTCTTCACTACTTGAATCTGCATTATAGGACAACAAACAATAAAGAAAAGATGTGTTGTGAGAAATACAACCTAGGAAAACGAATTAAATGCGGTACGTTAATATGGCATTCTGAATGATTGGTAAAGTTTTCTTTTCGATATAGTTCTGAGAAAAAGTATCAGTTGAATCGAGGAGGGGAGAAACAAGCTTTCGTTTCTTCTGAATGGGAAATGGAGCCCAATGAAGTTGACAGACTCTCCACTTTCGTTGATAACAGAAACTTTCTCCTTTTGTTAGCCAAAGATTTTTGCCTGAGAACCTGAAATGTAGCCAGTTTCAGTTTATGCAGTAATATAGAAAAAGAAGCACCTTGAAACACCAGAAAACTTTATATATTTCAATGAATTCATCACTCATAGCTATGATTAGTGAAACCCTTTAACAAATTGATGACAGACATTCATATAACAGAGTAAGTATTTGAAAATCAATGTTAGGGATACACATAAAACTCTTCAAGTAACTTCGATTTCGCGGAATCATAGTCTTCCTCAAGAATCTATGGCTAAACAAAGCAGATTTTTTTTATTTGTTGATCAGAATACAGGGAATCCATCAAAGACGACAACTTTCGATACTAACAATCAAACGGAAGAAACCAGACCTAGACACTATAAACAGAGAGAGAGAGAGCTAAGGAAGAAGACGATGATTCCGATGCCAGAGAAAGTCAACTCAACAATTCGTTGACCGACTTATATTGACTTGAGTAA